GGGGTGATTGGAAAGGACCACTTCACTGTAATACCGGTACGCTGCAATAAAGCAGCTTTTGAAGAAAGACCTCTCCCTTCATCTTACGGGGAAACATTAACACTTACATAGACGGTAGTAGTTACCTGGTTTTAATTTTTTTTTTTAAAGGGGGGGGGGCGGGGGGAGGGAAGTAATTGGAGATCTGAGGCACCGACCTCTCCGCAGGAGCAAGAAAAGAGCGCCTGCAACGTGCAACCGATTCAGTGAGTAACCTTGGGCAAGGTGCCGGTGACCTCTCCGTACCTGAGTGACTCCTCACAGAAAACGGTGCTTACAGGCTTTACTGTCCTGGTAATGTTCTTTGATTTCTGTGTCTGGGAGAATGCACAGAATCGGTAATTGTCAATTTAGATTATATGTAATGATTGCGTAACAGATCTCAACGAGGAAAGTTTGGTACGAAAACTCGGGGACGGTTGATGTTTCTGCCTGTGGCTGTAACGGGACGGACTATCCGCTGTACTCGCACTACTGAAGACATGAGGGGAGTTAGCTATCTGAACAATTTCTTGCCACCCTGAGCGATCTGGGCCCATAAACACCAAGAGGAGCCTTTTGTCTGGAAACCCCTTGGAAATTTGGAAAGATTTTTCCAGACGTTTATGAAATACGCTCGGTGACCTTGAGCAAGGATTCTTGGGTCTGACATGTAAAAAAAGATGAATATTAATTCATTTACTTGATATTTCCATATGTGTTATTCTTGACTGTGTGGGCAATACACATTTGATACACTGGCTATAGCAGCAGAACTAAGTTTGCAAACAATTTCTAGGACAAAGGCATTAGGATAGACTAGAATTCAAGGTTGAAGTTTATACTTTTTATTTCTGTATTGGCATTGATATAAGGAGCATCTTTAGCAGTTCGTTTTTAGCAGTGGCCGATTCATAACAAGTTTTTTTTTTTTTCCATAATTACGTTCGGGTTTTGTTTTTTAATGCGTAACTGGGGTACAGAGCAGAAGAAGTGGGACTCAGGTGTGTGTAAAATTCAGGTTAAAAAGCACTATTGTTTCATGACCGACACTCTAGAACGAATGACCCCAGTTTACATAGGTGATCTGTCTTATTCAGAGTTTTCTCTGAACTCCTCTGAATTGCTTTTCAAAACTACATCCCTTCTGGAAATTTTTTCCGGTCATTTCAATGTAATTACAGGGGCATTTAATTAAAATAAATGCACTAACACCACTCGTCCATCCCACCTCTCAGCTACAGGTTGCTGTTTCTACAGGCGGGCGTGTCTTATGCTTCAGCTATTCCTATGCGTCGTGGAGCATATTAACTTTAATTTCTGAAATAAGTGGGTTTTCAGTGATACGGCGGGCTGTGAATTTGGACGGTTGAAGCATAGTACATGCTCTCCTGTTCCACCAAGTAATTTCAGGCAGAACGTAGGGGTGGACAAATAGGTAACTGCAGTAGATTTGCCAGAGGATGTTTGCTTAAATCACCTCTCTAGAGTAATTCCATCATGATGAAAGAAAAAATGATCTCGTTTTACCTCTTCCGTTCCGTTCCGTTCCTTGTCATATCACCCTGCTCCATCTCTATTTCACCGCATTTATCTTCTAGTTTGAGGTCTCTGCAGGGAATGTTTTGCTAATGTACGAAGTAGACCAACAGAACAGTGCTAATATTAGCATCTTTCCTGCCTGCTAAACTATGCTTTTGCCAGCATACCTTGCTTCAGCCATCTCCTTTTTCCTCCAAGAAAAATAAACTCTGCTGGGTAACGGTCAGATTTGTCAAAATACACTATCTATGTGAGGGGCATTTGCCGTCAGTTATGTCAGTCATAAAATGTTACCTCCATCCACCCTAAACTGGCAGAGACGTGCCTAGAAAATTATAGACGTTGCTTACGAAAACGATGAAGTTTAGTCTAGATACAGCAAATACAGTTTTGCCGGTGCAGACCCCTAATGATTTCACATTTCTATGCATCAAGTGCTTGGGGTTCCTTTGCTATATGTCAAAAAAAAAAAAAAGAGTGTGATTATTTCATTTATGTATAAATGTATTTAAACTCCGTGTTTTGGTTACTGAACTGGATGGATGGATGGATGGATGATCCAGTGGCCAGCAACACTCTTTTGCAGGCAATGAACTTCTCGAGCCATCAATGAATTTCGCTTGGGAAGACTGCCTGAAGAGTAGTTAAATGGTCAGATAAAAGTATTGCCTCTAGGGGCACGCAACTGGTTTTAGTTACATGTGGAAGCTTGATTCTGCAAGCCCAACACACACAGGATCCAGTTGGTTTTTTGGGTTTTTCTCCCCCGCATTAGGGGGATTGGAGCACCAGGCCCTATGAATATGTAGCTGTGTTTAAGTACTGCCCAA